TTTTTTTTTCCTTAAAGTGATAAAGGATTTAGATTTCAAGTTCGAATAAATGAATCTACCAAAACATAAAATTCTCCCTTTTCTTTTTCTTTTGCAAATAAGAGCGGACCCCATTGCTTGTTTTTTTTTAAAAAAAATTAAAATCAAAATCAAAATTAAACTTAATCTAATTATTAAAATAAATAACAATTAAATATTTGATTCATTAATTGATATATAATTTTTTTATCTAAAAACATAAAGTTTAAATCTTTCCTCCTTCAATTATAAATTTAAGTATTATATAATATACTTTTGCTTTTTCTTAAATATTTTTTTCTCATTTTATTCATTTTTTATTGAATGAATTTATTTTGGTAATTATTTTTAAATATATTATAAAAAATTAAAATTTTTTAAAATGAAATATTGAAAAATTTTACAAATTATATAATTATATGATTTAATTCAAAAATAATAATCAAAGTTGAATATATTTGATAAAAAACATATTAGATAAAAGGGAATAATATTTTGGCAATATATAGTATTTGCATTAAGTGATTTTTTAATGGATTTATGAGATTAGTCATTTGAATGAGATATTCTTTGCTGGAATTAAAATGAAAAATAGAAATAAAAAGGACATAGTCAAGAGCTACAGTCTGGAATTGTGCAACCTTGAAGGTAGATTACGGACATTGAAAGGAAAAGAAGTTAAAAAAAGGAGGTCAAGTTGTCAAATGGTCAACCAGAAGACCAGAAACAAGAAATTGTAGGGTGGAACCTTGCCTTACCTACAATGAGATACATAGGAGATATTTATTGATTTATTAATATATATATATATATATATATCTGCACATTCTCATATGCATAGGGAAGACTGGGGCCCAAGATTTTAAGAAGGATTGATTATACCCATCATAGGACCCGTGATGCCACTGTTGGTGATAATTACTTTTGTATACGCTCCTTGGACATAAGTAAGATTTAGGTTTGGTAAAAATAAATTACTCATACACATTCAAGCTTATTAAATTTGTACGACATCAAAATATATACATATTTAAATATATGTATATATATATATATATCCATCTTTTATCTCTTTAATCTAAACTTTCAAATTTAATGTTTTTTGAGTAATTCCGCAGCATGGAAGTTATTATTAATTCCATGATCTTTATTTTGGTGATCTTTGTAACTCCAGGCTTGATCAGCCTGGTCTTTTGAGGCTGAAATGATCCACGGTCACCTTAGAGAAGAACTGCCACAGCCAAGCACCATTTGGAAACAAACAAGGTTGGCACTTGGAAGATTGGAAACTTGATAAGAGTCTATAACATAACCTTTTGAATTTCAGATGGTATAACGGGCACATGAATTAGACACGAATTTAGCTCTCAAACCATAGCATGTCTATTAAATACTATTAGGCAATCACAATTGATAAGTCTCAATGTTCTAGTCGCAAGATGAGCGCAATAAACATTTCCAACAAAGTGATAATGCTATCCTAGATTACAGTTGCTGTAAGGAATCTAAAAATGCAGAGTATGTGTTCAAGTTACCAACCATCCCCACATCCATTAGAAAAAACAGAAGACAAAAGGAAAGAGAAAACCTCTTAACAAGTAACAGGAACTCATTCTTGCTCATCCCCATAGCCTAAGACACTGGATCAGCATTGTGCCACCCCTTGGTGCACGGTGGAATGGTCATGAACTCATCAAATTCCTTTACATGAATGTCACAGCACTTCCACTGCAAAGAGATCATAATGAATAAATGGTGGGAGCAAAAAAAGATAAGCTAACAATGTTATAATCAATAACAACATATCATAATGAAAGAGACAGTATACCCCTCTCATTCGGTCATGGAAAATAGCAGGCCCAGGATGGTAACTGCATGCAGTCTCATGGTTATCTATTTCTTTGAAAACTTTACCACATCCCTTGTTTTTGCACGTCTGAGTCTCGTTTATATCAATTTTCTTCCTTGGTGGAGCAGAAGCCTGAACATCTGCACTGCTCTCACCTGGAGCAGCAGTGGTGGAGTTCAGTTCTTTGGGCTGTGAACCTACAAAACATGCTTCAGCTTAGAAGAAAAATATGATTGTATAGCAACATACTTGAATGAGATTGATAATGTTCTCTACTACAACAAAGAATTAATGACTTCAACTTCTGATGCACAGAATACTCAGATATTTATCACTTGGCACTAGAAAAATGTAGCCTCAAACCTGAACAACATAACCCTGTAAAATTTCTGCATATCTTGTAAACCAGCCATTCACAATATTCAGATTTCTGAAAGAAACGATGGTTAGGACTCAGGACTCCAATAGTTTCTTTTTAGGGCAAGTATTATGTTGCTTTACACACATAAAATGTTGGAAGAATAAACCACACAATATAGAAACAAATTAAAATATTTAATTTAAAAAGAGACCTAAACAAACTTGCCAATCGCTCACAAAATGGCATTGACTCTTCCAACAGATAAGAGAAAGAGGATGTACTGACAGTTATCATCTACCCCACTTGACACATGAGCTTATTACATTGACCAAGAAAAAGGAGTACCTATAAAATAACATCTTAATTCTTTTCCCACTAAGATCATAAGGTGTAATTGTGCTCATTTAAGATCATATAAAGCAAAAAAAAAACTATTTTTTTCTACACGGTAAATCAGACATAAACCACTGATAGTCTAATCATTTGAGTGAGAAAAAGCTAATCATAATACCATGATCCGAGCAAAAGAAACCCTGACAGCACCTACGGCAAGATTCTTTTGATGTTGCGCTGCTTGCAAGAGCAAAAGCAGGAGTAGAAGTTGGATTCTTTGTAATAGCAGCTGGCTTAGTCAAAACTGGTTTCTCAATTGTGTGCTTACCTGTCTTACATCTGCATTATAAAAAAAAAAAACCCTTAAAAGAAACTAATATTGACTAGACACAAATAGATAATAAAAATTATGATGCAGTGAACTTCCTTATCCATGGAGGATGTCAATCATTCAATCTTTTTCTATATTACTTACTCAACAATGGCAGCATGAATCATATAGTTCATGTCCTAAAGGAATCAAGACAGGTACTTACCCAGGAATTTCTAGGAATAAGCTGAAATCATGACTTCTTTTTTTGCAGCAACTCCACTCTTTCATTCCATCATGAAATATAGGCTGAAAAAAAGTCATTTAAGTTCACCTTATCAGCAGAAAATGATGATGCAAATGACATTTTGAAAAGAATAAAAACTACTGTATTTCTTTTCAAAAATTTTCACTTACACCCTGATTGCATGATTTGGTCCACGCAGCGAAACCAAGCCAACATGCAAGACAACAAATAAATTAGCATAATGCACAAGACATAGTAACATTTCCAAACATTATCTTTTAAAAAAATTCAGGACAGGCGCTACAAACTCATTCTTGTCTATGATTAGCGACCATTACAAACTAGGCAAAAAAAGGGATAAACACAAGCTGAAAGTTATCACTCAATGTGGAAAACTAATAGCATTAATTAAAACTATAAGCTTTTGCATGGAATAGCGAAAAAAAAAAGCCTTTTAGTCAAATTTAACAAAACATATCGAATAAAATCCAAGGGATACATTTCTAAAAAGGCAAGGAAGGGAGAGGGATTACACAAACTTGTACAAGTTATAATTTAGAAACCAAAAAGCGCATGATTATAATCATAAAAGGAAAATAGGGACAAAAGGGAGACATTATTTTAACCAAATCTAGGGTTAATTGTAGCTTTATATTCAAGGTACTATGTTCGAACAGTGAAGATAGATGCTGTAGCTATCAGAATCCAAGAACAAACTATGCAAGCAAACAATCAAATTATCTTCGTGTACCCTATCATATCAACTTGTTGCATTTCAAGACTAAATATTGGTTAACAAGAGGTTGAGTGAATGGTCTAATTTTGATTTGAGCGTTTCAATTAAATGGTCAATACGTCATGCTGTTGGATTAAAGTGATGCAACGCACTGAAAATTAGAAATACAACCACAGGCCACCCAAATTTACCGAAAAGAAAACAAGAAAAATATAATAAAGATTTAGAATCGGTAAAGAAGAGGCATACCGAATCGTGGTATGTGCAGGAACCTTCCGGATTATCGTCTTCGATGAACGTAGCATTGCAGCCGATTCGCTGGCACCGAAGCTTAGCAGCCTGCTCTGCCATTTTTCTCTTTTTGGAGATGCCGTTGCTTTTTTTTTTTTTTTACCTTTCTTTATTTAACAACTCAGTGGACTTTCGGGGCGATGAGGAAGTGGAAAGTTTGCAAGGTGGATCTCGATTCTTGAGTTTCTGCTTTGTACCTGGGACGTTTAATTCTCTGCGAAGTGGGGCTCTGGCTCTTCTTTTTCCCATTGTTCTTTCTGGATGCCACGTGGAAACATCCTGACGGTTTATCAAATTGCTTTTTTCTTTTAACCGCCTATAGGAATAATATCAACGGCCTGCAAGCCAAATTACAGTTTCCCGGTGCTTTTCTTTGTAAAGGTAATGTTTATTTTATTTATTTATAATTAATAAAGGTCATTGGCTCAGATGGCATCTGGAAGTAAAACTTCACACGGTTCACACAGTAGAAACAAGGCTTTGTCTCTAAATGATTGAGGTTTTAGGTTTTGAGGACTCAATACAATTAAAATAAAGACAAGAAGAACCCAAAGGAAAAACAAAAGATGGAGAAACCAGAGAACATTTTCTGGTCTGATATGACAAAATCTGTCATCTACAAACATTAACATTGATACAGTTGAATGAATTCTACACCTGAAAAACAGTCCATAGAAGACTAGAACAAATATCCCTATCCTTGGCAGATAAATAAAATAAATGCAGTTTGACTCCAACTTATTCATTCTACAGGTCACTGTGAAGTATAAACTCAATGGCATTTGCTAATACAGCTTAATAAAGATATAGACTTCGATGTAGAATCCAAATATGAAGCTCGGTAAAGGTTCATAAATTTGTCCCAAAAGGAGACATTTTCTTCTGTAAATAATGATCTAGTATAACCCTTTTGCCCCCCAAGAGGCAAGAATACCTGTCAAGCAAGCAATCTTACAGCAGAATTTTGGTATAGGGTTACAACATGACACCAGGAGAAGAATGAACTCGTGATGGCTCAAAATACAAAATCATCTATATACAATATACAAAGAATAATAAAGAATATATTAGTGTACATGAGAACTTTCAGCTGATATGCAGTGGAAGCGACATCGTGCCGTGTGATCAGAAACCCCAACAATAACATCTAAAGCCCTAAATTCTAACACCAGTATAAGCAGACTATGATCATATCGGAAAGTCACAATAATCTGTTATGTGCTTCAATGATGGAAACTTTCTCCTGCAAAACATGAGTATATAAAATAATATAAAAAAATGAGTCTATATTCTTTAAAATGCTTTTCCAGAACTTTAACCTTTAAGCTTATGCATCAACGAATAAAATAATCAAAAAGGAAAATCAAACCACCCACCCAACCTCAACAGAAAGAAAAAAAAGAAAATGAGCACAGGAAACATTCAACTTTAAATTGAAAATGATTGCCATGCCAAGTTACTTCCAGTAAATATCAGAGGGGGTTTCATTTATGCAGTTATGTAAATCTGATTTAAAGCCAAAAACAACTAAAAGGCATTCCAAAATCAAGTACATTAAGACTGCTTTAGCTGGCAAGTACCAGATACTGTTCATGATATTGGTCTACACCTGAAGAGTAGCATGAAAACTTCGGTACACAAAGAGTTGATGGGCATACTTGTATACAGATGTTAAAAGAAAACAAATTTTCATATTCAGTTCCAAAGTTCTATTGATGGAAATATATATGCAAAGGGGGAAGGTAGGTAATTTAGAGGTAGTGAATGATGGTCCATCCTTCATATGCAAAGCTCTGTGTGCAGACATATGAGAATACCATAAACACATAGATAGATAGACAGAGAGAGAGAAAGACCTCATTCTGTGAGCTGTTCTCTGAGGGAAACCATTGTAAAAGGACACCCAAGTTCATCACATTAGGTATCAATTTGAACAAAAGAGGAGTTGTTACCTGCAGAATCAAAATTCGGCACCATTAATGTTGCAGGCTTGCAGCCAAGAAGGGGACGAAGAAATGCATACTATAGAGCTTCAAAGTGTAGTTTCTAGATCAGAGAAACCTACCAGACTAAGAGCAGTTGTTCCAAGGAGAAGAAGATACATCTTTCCCTTCAGCGTCACCCAAATTCAAGTTAATAATTGCAACAAAACAATTGCAATGATGATGAAGTTAAGACATGCTCAAACATATTAAAAATACAAGTTATCAGGAAGCGTCAGAAAAAGAATTTTCTGGAAGGCACAATGGAAGCAGCAAAAGAAATTTATTAAGGAACTCCGTGTGATGATTGAATTGTTAATATAGGGGGCAGCTATTAACTTTTTCAGGTTTTGTGTTCTCTTCTAGCAGGACTCTCCTGCTTTCTTGGATAACAAAATGACAATTATCCAAGAAAACAAGAAATATGTTAATGCTATAAGCACTCATATTACAGAGCCCGAGAAAGAAAACCAGACCAATTCACAGCTTATCGAAGCAGCAGAAAAAGTTACCATCATTCTTTCTTTCTATACATGATCATAACAAGGCTCTCTCATCGGACCTGTCCTTTCCAAATAAATAATCAAAATCCACACTCAAAACCCCCTTTTAGTAGAGTCATATGACATTTCACTCATTGCCCCATATACATTTCAAACTCCCAAGGACAGCAGTTCTAACTTCCAGGCATCCAAGTATAATAAGAAGAGCAGTGAACAATAAATCCATGCACTTGGTTGTTGCTTTCAACTCACAGAAGACCAGATTTTTAGCAACTAATGGCATCCATAGTTAAATTAGCATATCTAGCACAGATTCTCAAGCGATTTAGGCTGTGCATATAACACCAACATATTTATCTTACTTCAATCACAAAATATGTGTAAGTGTTGGTCTACATAACAATCCTAATAGTAGGGAAGCAGACCAGGTAATTTCATGCAATTTAATTTCGTAACAAAAACTAATATGAATATTTTGGTGAGAAATAAGGAGTTCATATATTCAGACCTTCCCACACCAAACAGGATTTTACATTCTTTAACCAGAATATCATCCTGCCATTGGAGACTAATAGGTATAATTGGGCACTCATCACCTGAGGGATTTATGCATATCCGAATGATTTTTTTTTTTTTGCTTAGAATTATGATACATTATTTTGAAATACTTTGAGACCGCTTCTAAGGGTATGACATAAGAAGAAAAATCCAAAGATAACTACGGAGATCAATCATCAAGAAAGAAGAAAAAACTTTATTGTAGACATGAAAAGACATAAACGTGCACATTTTTTGGGAGCACTGAGAGAGAGATAGGTACCTCAACAAGGTGAAGATTTGAGGCACGACTTAAAAGAACAAAAGCAAATTCTCCAATTTGAGCAAGCAACACTCCAACCTATATCATAGAAGTACCAATTGCAAAGGATGCACAAATTATGCAATGAAAACAAGATGTTCTTTGTGCATAGGAGTGAGCAAACAAACTTACATGGAAAGATGTCCTAAAACTATATCCAAAAGCCTTGGTGACCACAGCAGCAACAGCTGTCTTAACAACAATAACTAGAATAACAGCTGCTAGCAATATATCCACATGGTTCCAGAGAAAATGAACATGTATGAGCATCCCAATTCCAGAAAGGAAGAGAGCTGCAAATAGATTGCGTATTGGTTCCACCTACAAATTGCGCAAAGCATCACATCCAGAAAAGTACTAATTTCATCATTCCTATGAGAATAGAAACAAGACTCATGATAAAGAGAATCTTGCATACAACAAAGAAATGCATCCACTTCAGCACTTAGCCTATTTCAGACTCAATTTCATAAAAAACTGCATAGCTTATCCAATGTCCATAAACACGTGAACCACTAGAATAAATTTAAAGATGAATAAAGTATGAACCCTCGACTCAAAATACTATAAACCATTTGCATTTTAGATGTTCATTCATGTCTCTATTGACTAAAAATTCATGACCTAAAACAGACTATATAAGAAAAGTAAAACAAGCGAAGCTTTAAAAACTTTTAAGAGACTAATTGAAAAATGAAATAGCATTAAATCCTTTCAGGCAAAGCTAAAAATATAAGATTAATGATATGGGTAAGGGCCCTATTAATAGCCAGTGATTACCTGGTCTAAAGTGTGCTGTGCAAAGTCAGTAGTAGATATCATAACTCCAGCTACAAATGAACCCAACTCAAGGCTGAGACCCAGCTTATCACTGCACTGTGAAGATTACAGAAGTTCAAAAGCATTAAAAAGGTGATGGGGAAATTTTACATGCAGCAATATAGCATTTGTAATCACGGAAAGCAGAACACTCACCCAAGCAGACAATAAGCAGAAAGCCACAGCGGCAAGCTGATAAAGTTCATTTGTCTGGATCACAAAATGAACTAACATGTTAAAAACTATTTAGAAAGTTACAGAAAGAAAAGGTGCGTTAAGAACTTACTTGAGATGATATCTGTATCATTAACTTTAGGAAGCGAGGAACAAATGACCAAGACAATACAGATGCAACAGTGAGATATATCGATAATACCAGCATCCTGACATTGATCATCAGCAAGTGTCAGATTCTTAAGCTCCACTTATGTGAAGTCAACCACCAACAACAGATCAACGCTACTTTTCAGAAGAAGGGAAATAAAAGGAAGGATCACAATAAGAAATTCAGGATAGAAGTCAAAAACAAATCAAACTTACAACTTTCCCACTGAAATCATTCCATGTAGTAGGCCACTGCTACCACCCAAAACCGGGAGCAAAGCAAATAACAAACCAACAGCACAATCCTGAAATCACCAGAGCTTAGGGAATGAATGGATATGCAGCAATAAAATCAAGTTTCTGAATCCAAATTGTAATTAAATTGTTGATAGGTCATCACTTCTCTTTAACCTGAAAAATTAGAGTCCCAATAGTAACTTGACCATGAAGAACATTAGTGCTATTCCGTTCTACTAAAAACTTCACAACCTGGTAAAAAATATAAGGAAAGCATGGGTGACAATTCGACGCATCAAGTAGCACCCAAGAATAAAAGAAAAATACTAGCATTGTAAAATAGTATAGAAAAGTACAACTGCAGTTGATGACATTGAGAGGAAGGAGCCAACAAATACACCCTCAGACAATTTTGCTCCACATAACTGCAAGATTGACAGATGTCTAAATTCAGTGTCTATCTAACAGGTGTTCTCAATTGGAAACATAGCCAAAGTACTTGCAACACCATACCACCGCAATTATGCCACATAAGCACATAAATATCACAATCTGAAGTAGACCTCCAAGAACAGCAACTGGCCCCACAACTTTCAACTGCAGCAAGAATTGGTTGAGACAGCTTTCTTAAAATAAAATACAAAAATTTTTAAGCAAACTAACAAATAAGAACTCGCTAAAGCCGAAAGTATCCTACCTTTGCCAAAGAAAACTCTAACCCAAGAGCAAAAAGAAGAAAGATAACACCAAACTGTGCAACAGTTTCAACCTACAAAAGGAGAAAAGAAAAAGAACATAGCACCAAAATAATAACATGGAAGACAATATCACACTGATCACAAATTTCTGCAAGAAGGCATCAACGAATGAATTTTCAAATGATATAGTTTAGGCATTATTAGTTGCTATCAGCTGAAAAGTTTCAATGTATAAATGTATAGAAAATAAATAACATTTTCAGGATATAAATTTCAAATGCAAGTCTCAGAAATTATTAACAAAGAAAAAAATGATCTCACAAAACATCTTTGAAAGATGACTCATAAAGCATGTTTCCCCTCCATGGTACCATTAGTGAGGCTATCTCAATAGTAGACAATAGCATATGCTCAAGCATTGAGGCATGTGATTGTCTGATTTTAAGAAACAACAATCTCAAGCTATTGATTGCAACCTACCTGTACCATTTCGCTAATGAATTTCAAACCCCCTGGTCCGATAAGTGAACCCGCAAGAAGATAGCCCACAATAACCTATCACATGTATACATTAAGGAAAAGTAAAGAAATGCAACTTCTGTGAGATAGCTGCATATCAAACTCAAAGATTTTGCAAATGAATATTAAATGCTAAGTGAAATAAATGCTAATTGTAGAGATACAAACCGGTTGCCCCAAACATGAAAAGATTATACCACCAATGGCAGCAGAGACTATGACAACCACCAGATCTGAAATCAATCTGCATAAGGGTAACACAATATAATACAGCATCTTTTTATTAGATAATTAAACAATTTATTAAAGCATAAATCTCTAGTAGTATATTATAAACAAAATCAAAACTCAATGGCAAGTTCTAAAGGTAAGCCAAAAATAGTTTTCAATAATTATCTATCACAATGCCACCAACTTGTTATAAAATAAAAACCATATACTAGATCAGGAGAATGTGAGGATACAGGAGATCAAGATGCTAACCTCAAATCGACTTGGAGTACCGGATACTTGGATTTTTTATTTGACATTACAAACACATTATCCTAACATCGAGTAAGAAAGGCAAATTAGAAGGGATTAAATTAAAATAAAAACAATCTAGATAAAACTGTGTTATAAATCCTCTTATACACATAAGCGAAAAAGCTAACATATGGACAACCTTTTTGTCAATCAAAGTTGTTGTCTCATCTGAATCTTCATTTTCTAGGGAAAATACATCTTGAATCTGGAATGATCTTGTGCCACTATTGAAAATTTAATATGTGGAAAAAATTGTCAAGTCATAAAAATAAAAAGTATTATTCAGATGTTTATTGCCCAAAAAAGAACTGCACTCCCATACTTTGCCTCTTGAGTATCATTTCTCTTTGTCTTCTCATGAGTGATTTTAGCCACAGTCTCCAGCACAGCCTGAAAAACATAACCAGGAAGCATCTTTAAGACAGACAACAAAAATGAACAACTGCACATAAAGCACGTGGATTACTTGGGAAAGAAGGTAATGAAGAGCATGTCCAAACCCAAACTTTACTCAATAATTATAGAAACCCCAATAACTAGCCAATACATTAACCAATATTTGGCTATCATTAATTAAGAATACACATAACCCAAGATCCCTCACAAGATTGCTTAATTTATCCCTTAAAATTTAGAGGCCCACTACAGTTTGGAAAAATATTTGAAGAGAACAAATGTAGCAGACTCATTTACCTGAGCTCGAGCCAAAACAATAAATTTAGCAAAAATAAAAAAGAAGAAAAAGACAAGGGTGGGTGGTAGAGGGAATGATGTTCGCAAAGAAGACTGAAACTACAGAGGAAACATTACAGTCCAGTTTCCTTATCATCAAAACAATGAAAAAGGTTTCACCGAGGAGCAATGGGCTTCAAAGGAGAACCAAACCTACTTGCTGATCGGCTACACTAGTGTTGAAACTGCTTGCATCAGATCCTAACAAAAGTAAAAAACCAAAAAGAATATCAGCCAGAAAGCATTTAAAGAACCAATGAAGGCCCAATCAGTAAATGCAAAATTTACATCATGCAGAGAACTAGAGGACCTCGTAGAAAGATTGCATGTAGAAAAGGAAATGAAAACTCTAATTTGCTTAAGTAAAGCAATACAAGTCAAAGCTACAAGAATATGATAAAAATGAGAGTGTATGGCGATTTTTTTTTTTTGAAGATTTTATTTACCTAACATTTTTTTTCATAGCTAGTCCATCATTATTTTTTTTTAAAAAAAAAGAACTAATAGTTCAATTTACTTTTATGAAAACTTTATTTTAACTTCTGATAGATGATCGTTTTTACTGATAGTTTAAACTTCAAACTGAGCCTGCATTTTTATGGTCATTTGATGAAATTGCAAGACCTACCGGCATAGATATCAAGATCCAACAGTTTGTTTGTTTCTTTTTGTTTTTTCTCTCTTTCGTGAGTTTTCTCGACATCTTAAAGGATTCAAACATTTAAAAGAATAACTATAAGAAGAAAAGAAGTAAAAAGGCTGACCTTCGGACTGATCATTTTCGGGGAACTCTTTGTCAAGAACCCGATCGAACATTTTGGCTATACTCTCTTCCCCGGTATCCGACGCCGACGAATTCACCAGGTTACCGTAAAACCTTTCCCGGATTTCCTCATCAGATCTCGCGGATACGCATATCCTCGCGCACAACAATATAATCACCAAACAGTACGCGCATCCAAACACTCCACGTCTTGCGGAGAGGATCGTCATCGATTCCGTGAATCTCCCTCTCTCTCTCTCTCTCTCTCCCCCTTTTTCTTCTTCTTTCTTTAAAGTATTTGAAACAAATTTTGCACAGAAAGAAAAGAGTAAGGGGGGTAATGTGTGTAGAGATATTCGGTTAAACTGGAAATCTGGATCGAAAAAGGGAGGTTTATAGACGTAGCTTGGGTTCGTTAATTGAGATTTTAACTGTCCAGGCGGGATCATACATGTGACGATAGCAGGTCGCGTGATATTAAAGAAAATCTTTTTAAAAAAAAAATAAAGAAAATGCTTAACATTATTATAAGGGAATTCAGATGGACAAATCTTTCCTTCACCATTTCAAAAGTTGGAAACTTCTTTGGTTAAAGTCAATTTATGATTTATTATTGATGTATGTGTTTCCGTTGTTAGATTTGGACTTTTATGCAACGAGTTAAATTTATAAACTATATATTATTATTATTATTATTGCAGTAATTAGTTAACTAGTCAACTAATAATATTGCATTCTAATTGTATCATTAAATTATTGAATTTGTACTATTATCTTAACAATTATATGTTAAATTTAAAGTATTATTTTGCACACTACTTCAAATCAAAAATAATGTTTACAATTTTATCATGCATTCATTAAATTAAATATTTTAACTCTATTGTTTCACATATATATTTTTTAACTTTATATGTTTTAAAGAATCTAATTTTATAATTGTAAATACTAGTTTTCTGATGACAATTAACTAAATATTTGATTAATTTGTTTTGAGAGAATGTGTAACTCGAGTTCTTAAACTTTAGTAGTGACTCATTTATTATTTTTTATCATCAATGATTAATGTTTTTATTTTGTGTGACCTTTTAACAAGCTACTCCCATAAATGTAACCTCGCTGATAACAAATTATTACTATTTGCTGCCAAACCAACAGTTTATTACTTTAATAACAAATTTACTCAAAAGTTATTTTTACAGTATTAACAAAAGAATTATGCTTTTAATGGTTGGCAAAAATGATCTTTCCGTGTCAATATCACAGGAATAACTAAAATCAAAATCGGGTTTTAGGTATTGCAAAAAATAAAAAATAAAAAACTCTTTTCTATATTTTCTCCTTGAAAGAATTGACTTGCTGATAGCCTCTCGTTAAATTGGTTTCGTGACGGTGTATTCTTCCCCGTTTTTGTTTCACAGTATGTTTAGATTATGGTTGGTGCGTTACATCGTTAGGTATGGGCCATGGCTTACTGCTAATTTCTCCAACCAGCAGAGTGCGCAGATGCTGAATAATGCAGATTTGAGGGGTGCTTTTACTCCCACTTCCTAGGGATATCTTAAACGTAAATAACTATTTATCATGGACAGCCATTAGCATGATTATTATCGATGGAAATGGTTAGCCTCGAGGCCTATCTTAGGCCTCCATGACCTCACTTTCGAATATAGATCATCAGGGCCGGGCCCTTATCTGGGCTCAAGATGCATCTATCCGTCACAAAGAACTGACGAAAGTCAACAAGGCCCAATTACCCCCAGTCACCATGTTTCATGGGGCCACACAGTTTTATATGACCAGATTTTTCTCTACTGTTATTTTTACCAAAAATGCAAGGAAAGAGTTTGTCTCTACTGTTTTTTCATCGCAGCATTAGTACATCGTGTTATCATCCTGTATTTCTTTTATATGGTTTAGGGTAACATATAAATACAGAAAAAAGAAAACTAAATATAGTTTTAACGCCTTAGTGCAGACAAAATTTATTGAAAAGAAACAACTTAAACCAGGCAATTCCCCTTTTTAGTCAGAAGAACTAGGCAAAGTTTCAATGCCAGAAACAATCGGTACCAAGAAAGGGATGCAAGGAGCAATAGGTAGAATGTTTAATCCGTACAAAATGACGTGTCACTAGTTGCATTCACAACATTGATAGAGAGCATGTTCTCCACAAGTTCGTCGCCTACTTTTTGGATCCTAAAGATAAACCGACCCTTGCCATCTAAAGGCAGAGAAGACACAGACACAAACAGCAAAATTGTCAACAATCCAACTCAACTCTCAGACTATCTCTTTCAATGGCGTCCACTATGAGCACATACGTTGCTGGCTTCTGCCAAAACTTATCATCGACTGCAGGGCCCAAGCGAAGCCCTGGTGTTGGTGTTGTTACCATTAATGCAAGGCCTAACCGCTCAGCGGCTGTGGTGGTCAGGGCAGAGGGTCAAACCATAAACCCAGAAATAAGGAAGACGGAAGAGAAGGTGGTCGACTCTGTTGTGGTCACCGAGCTTTCCAAACCTCTTACTGCTTACTGCAGGTTGGTTCTATCTTTTTTTTTCTATTTCTTATCCAAATACTCATTTTATATGTGGCTGAATTTATATTATAAAGGCTTAATTATTTGGTTTTGTGTTGCACAACATGTAGGTGTTGGAGGTCAGGGACTTTCCCTCTATGCGATGGAAGCCATGTAAAGCACAACAAGGCTACAGGTGACAATGTTGGGCCTTTGCTCTTGAAGAAGCAGTAACAATTTATAATTGGCTTGTCTATCATGTTTTGGTTTCCCGTGTTAATTTTGATTACTAAAGACCTCTCTAGGGGAACGTTGTTTGTGTTGCTTGGTTTTTGATTGGGTTGAGCTCTCTGGTTTGATATTGCTTGCTTTGTCCCTCGATCATGTTTTCATACATGCCATACTCAATGCAACGCTCCAAACATGTAGCAATACGAACACAATTAAGGGATTATGTTAAAGGAGTACATTAACACAATTAAGGCTTTCAGAAAAGAGAATCGTTTTTGATTCTTGAATGACTTATTGTGAAAGGGATGATTGAACTTTGCAGTCAATCACCAACTACACAAGACCCCTCCTCCCCCCACTCGGTTACCTGGTATTGCCCCACTAGAAGGAAACAGTCATGGATTGGGTCTCCTTATTATCCTTAGATTCAAGGTCTGTATCTAAATGGGCTTACTGATAAAGGGGTGCTAGTTCCTCTACCCACTTTTAATTTGAGGTTCGAAACATGATTGTTGTGATGTGAACTATTTGCATGACCCAGGCTTTTGGCCCAATGGTCACCCTAGAACTAGAAGTGGTTTTACCTTTCCCCCAATAAAACATGAATAGTATCTCATATCTCATTAACTTCTTATGACATCATCAACTCCACTCTCTTATGTCATTGTACTCAAATCAGAACCATATTTTCAATAAATTCTATAAAAATGCTCTTTTTATAATATAGATGCTAGATTGCTGACTCTTAATTACTTTTAATTATATGCACATAATTCGATAAAATATTTTATAAAGAACGTTCCAATAAAAACTTCAAGTACAGTTTTATATATATGAAGATTGAACTAAATCTTACGCAAGTTAACATTAACTTTCTTTGATTAAGCCTAGGGGTTGAGGAAAAAGGTTAATGAAATATTTATTCAAAATTTATAACATAAGGTGAGCTTAAAACCGTTTCAAATAAGATTCACCAAAGGAGCTAAAATACAGGACAGTGGAAGCTTTGGTTGCGGCCTTTATATCACCAGAGGTCAGCAGATCAAGCTGTAAAGTTTTTATGCTTGTTTAAAACTTTAAGAATTTGACCCTTTTTTTTAAATATATTTAACGAAGGAAAAAAATATTTGACTTGTTCTAATTTTAATATTTTCTTCCATGTCCACGTGCCATTGGAGAAATAGGGTTGATGTTGGTTTGATTTATATTCAATTATTAACAACATAGGTCACTGGAATTAATGCAGTTCACGTTGGGCTGGTTAATGAGAGTAAACATAAAATGATGGATCCGCCTTCTTATCAATATTCTAATCCTTAGAATAAGCTGCCGTCTATGGGATCAAATTGAACACCTTTGAACTTGAAGCAAAGAAAAACAAAAAACAATTGACAACTTTGAAGTATCCAAAAAGGCAATAGGGCAGGCAACCCCCCTTTTCTGGTTGAGTACACGGGTGATATCAGTTCCAATTTCCAACCAAAATAAATAACTCTAAAATTGGTTCAATAAATGCTAAAATCAATTCAACAAACTCTAAAATCGATTCACAAAACCATTATACTAATTTAATAAACCCTTAAATCGATTCAACAAACCTTAAAACCAATTCGACAAAACTTAAAATCGATTCAAAAAGCTCTCAATCAGATTCATAAAATCTTAAAATTAATTTAAAAAACCCTTGAACCAATTGACTCTATTTTCTTCCAAAAATGGTTTAGTGAACTTTTAAACTGGTTCCGTTTCCTATGCCTTTGAGCGTGAATCTTGTTCCATTTTCCTTTAAAGAAAAAAAACAAAAAAAAAACAGGACAGAAACCGCCCTTCATGAAAGATAAAGTTTATATAAAAGCGTCCAAAAAAATAAAGGTAAAGTGATGTTCAAATTAAAATACGACAATGTAACATCATTGAACAAAAAAAAGGCACGAAAGAACCCATGATAACTAAAGCCAACGGCTTAATGGGTATTAAACAGTCAAAAGGAGCGACGGGCGGGCATTTTATTTCCAAAAAGCATGTGCCATTAGTCCCAAGAAACAACCCACAATTTTCTTAAGACCCCACCACCCGTTTATCCCAAAATCAAGCCTAGGATTAGGAATCTATAATTCTATGTATCCGACTAATGACCCGTTTGGCTTTGCATTTTCAATGTCAAAAATTATTTTTGTCCCACATGCAATATTAATTGCATATTGATTTGGATCAAAAAGTATTCTTCATTGTATTTTTTAGTTAAATTGTTTTTGGGTTCGTCAAAAGTACTTTCAAGTATTAAATAATAAAATATTTTATTTATTTTTTAATAAAAAATTATCTTTTAAATCATTCAAATTTAATTTAAAATAAAATTTTAGTGCATTACAGAAAAAATAGAAAAAATATTTTTACTTTGAAATAATTTTAATTTTAAAGAGTTCCAAAAAAAAATTTTTGTGTACATTTTAAAATTTAATTTCACAATAATTTATTTTTGATGCATCCTAACAATAATAGCTTAAAATATATAAAAAAATGAATCATTTTTTATTTTTTAACCTCATGTTATTTTTAAACATTTTTACTCTTCACAACATTTCTTTCCATAACAATGTCAAACATTAAAAAATCTCAAATGACACTTTTACATAGCATTTTTTTACATACGTTACACAAATACAATTGTTAGAAAAGATTATAAAAAATAAGGAATATAAAATAAAAATAGTAAAAACAATAAAAAAAAGTTTAAGGTGTAGTATCACTGTCCAAGAATAATTTCTATCCTTTCAGAGTATGAAACTCGATGTAAAATAACTGTAGCAATTCTCCTCCAGAATTCAACAGATCCTTCCTTAGTAGATTGCACAAACTATTAAGGGATGATAGGAACAACAAAAATAAAGAAAGAACCCAGCTGTTGAAGAAAGGAAATGGAGAAGATAAGCAAAGAAAGCTCAGAAGATGAAAGACTTTGATGTGTGTTGAGAGTGAAAGTGTGAGACTGTATTTATAGGCATGAAGTGAGATGAACGTTGCAGCAAATTAGATGAACGTTGAACCAGATTAGAGAGTTAAGAAAAAGACTCAAGGAGTTAAAGAAAAACCTGGTCAGCTTGTATACTGAGTCAGGTATCCGTTGTAAAACTTAGACAGATAAACATTGGAGCTAAACCAGCTCAAAAGATGAAAGACTTTGGTGTGTGTCGAGAGTGAAGATGTGAGGCTGTATTTATGGGTATGAAGTGAGGTGAACATTGCAGCAAATAAGATGAACGTTAAACCAGATTAGAGAGTTGAGAAAAAAACTCAAGCAGTTAAAGAAAAACCTGGTCAGCTTGTATACTAAGTCAAGTATCCGTTGTAAAACTTAGTCAGATAAACATTGGAGCTAAGCCAAGTAAGCTAGGTAGAATTTGAGTATGATTCAATCAAGGCTGAAAACTTAAAAAAATTAAAGCCAAGGTATAAAAGTTCACTTGGCACACCCACATGTATATACGCGCACAAGATAAAAATATGAAAATTTTCAAAGTCTGGCACAATCTTATATGCGAACGAACCCACTCCGTTTTCCTTACTTACAAAAAGCCCATAATGTGTTTTTATATATAAGGCATTCACCTTTTATGTATCTTGACAATATGAGATGTTTGAACTTTATAAATATACTATTTTCCAACAACATTTCCCTACCAAAGTGATTTTAGATTTTCTTAAACTTTTCAAAAAGTCCACAAAATAAAAATTGAATCTCGAAGAAAAACAAAGGAATTTTGAATATGTTTATTCTCTAAAGAAGTTGAATTTTTGTATTCAAAAATAGACCATAACAGAAAATTAATCAATAAATGAATTTCTACACCCTTTCTATATTTTTTCTTCATTGCCAAATTAAAAATATTTGGAGGATTACTGTATGTATACCCATAAAATTTTATGGTATACACATGACTAAAGTAAAACTTTCTTGTGTGCATTCAATCCAACATGTTCCAAGTTTTGGTGCGTTGAATTATTTAACCCCACACTTACATCTTCATTTATTATATACACATATATACATATTACGTGGTACTTGATAGATCATCCATTAATTCTTTGCCTACAATAAACAAAACATGTGAAGATTCTTCACTTGCTCCTCCTCTTGCAGCGTCGTCAATGTTCCTGCCTAGACAACGACCCGGCATCGTCTAAACTCCCATGGGTCAATTCTGTTTTATACATCTACACTGGCTTAAGCCTAAGTCACGACAATTCTTCAATATTTCAGCATATTAAAAGTTATAATAATGCCAATGTTACCTTTAACGGTCAAAAAGATACTTAAAGAATGAGAGAAGAAGAAGAAGAAGTCTTGCATTATTTAACTTAGGGTGAAAAATTCCTCTTTGTACTTTTGATATCAAAGACTAATTCATGCACCATACTTATCAAATTCATGACCAGACTTTTTCTTTGGCAATAACATTGAAGGAAAAATTCTTTTCTTGGGCTCCTCTGCCCACATGCCATTTAGGTTTCTCTTGTCGGTGGATCAAACTTCATTATGCCCTTGTTTTGTGTGTGTGTATATGTGGAATGAAAGCATTTTTTTAGTAAGATGATACGTGTTTTTGATGATCAAGTTTCCTCAAAAACCTTTAATTGCTGTCGAAGCATCACAAAGATCTAACCGTCAAGCTTATGAAACTGGGATGCTATGTATCTTCACATAAAAGCTTGTTGCTTGTTGCTTTTTTCATCATTTATGTAATTGGAATGATTCCTTCATTCTCAAATGATTTTGCTAGTCTTGCTGGTTTCTACACTAAAAGACTTGTCAAATATACACCAAAATGCACAAAATTATTGTTATTCTCAGATAATGTAATACCAAGGCCAAACGAGTCAATTTCCTTATCAATACCACGCAAGGCTATATGAATCATGAAGCTTCATCATGTGCAAACACCAAGACCCTTCAAGTCATTTTTGATGATACACATCGTGGGGCTCAACTTGGAGCCCTTTCACCATTTATATTCTGCCAAGTGTCCAATTACTAGACAATTTGTCGCCGTTCTAAGTGCTCTCACCCAATAATTTCTCTTTACTTTGCCTCACAAAATTCCAAAAACAAATTTGTCGCCATTGCTTGAATATTAGGGGGTCCCTTCGTTCTCTAAGGACCCATCTCAGAGTGTGCCACGTACGTCCCTACAGCTAGCCACAGCTGCACCGGATCCCACCTCCCACTCGCCAGCTTAATGAATTTGTAATTGGACTTGAAGCCCGCTTAAGGTGTTTTAAAACCATTAGATTAATGGTTAAAACGATCTCGTTCGCGCCTATCAACGACGGAATCTAACAGGTGTCAAGGTTTTTGTTAGATCCCACCGTTGGATCTCCACGCGGCGAAGTTTAAGTCATGACTCAACTCTTGGAGCTTAGATTTTTTGTGTTTCGTCATCATAATAACTCTGGAACGCTGAAGTATTTGGAAATTATGAGTTGAAAATTGTATACCACAAAAAAATTCGAGCATACGTTACTACTCAAATGAAAAAAGGTCTTTTTACTTGGAAATAATTTTTTTTAAATATTGCTGATTTAAATAGTATTCAACGTTTAACAGGTTGCACACTTAAAATGCTCAATAATCTTAAAAGTGAGCTAAAATTATAAAGATTGAATAAAGAGTAACAACTTTTAATGTTCAACAATTAGTAATTACATTTTTTATTTTGTCTCAAAAAAAATTACGTTTTTTATTTAATATAGATTTTAGTAACTAATTTTTATGCTATTCATTTTTTTCATCGAATTCTGTACAAGCTGGTATCAATGTAAATTTTTAACTCAAGTAACTAAAAACTTCCCCTGCCGTCATGGATTTTACATTTTTACTTGCCTTTAGCTCATTATGGTACAGTACTGTCTTTTTTTTCCTGAAGCGGAAAAAAGAACAGAAAGAGAAACGCTTATAAGTTAATTTACAGCCAGGTGTCAGTCAGTGCAGGCTCCAGACTCTGTCGGTTGCCCCGGCAGCCGGTGACGCGAAGCCACCTGCCTGTTTTTTTCCCCGCTACCATTTTAGCCTTGAATGTCCCGTATACAAATACCACGTCCTTGATGGTCTCGAGGACTTGAACTATTACCAAAAAGAAGGAAGTAATAAAACTGCAGCCCCACTTGGCCACTTTACACGCTCCATGCTCTGAAACCATAGACCGTCCGACACCGGTCCTCACTCGCACCAGTTTTTCCGGTCGGTCATTTCCGCCTAAACCTCAGAAAAAGCTGCTCCCAAAGAGATCTTGATGCTTCCAATATCAATCTCAAAATCCCCTTGTTTTCCCAACTCCAGCACCCCCATACCCTCCCCTAAAAAACCCCAAACTCCCGAACCCAGTTCAATCGAACGCAAAAACTCCTCCAACTCTCTCCATTTGCAGCCTTATCCCTTTCTACCCTGCCATCACCGCTTATGGCTACTCTTTTTCATCATCTCACTCCAGATAATCCTCCTGCTCATGGCTCGCGCCCTCCCTCTCTCCCATCGCCGAACCCATTTCCCGTCCCCTTTATCCGCCGATCAGCACCTCCTCCAAAATTCGGCTAACATTTCATCAACCCTTTCCTCTTCCTCCCACCACCTACAAGCCGCCGACATATCGATTTCGTCCACTGTTTCACAATCCGACCAGTGTTCTTCGGGCCGTATATTCGTCTACAACTTGCCGGCTGTTTTCAACAAAGAGTTGTTAGA